CCAGATAAAAAGCATTACTTGAGTGCTACTAATCTGTCAGATTTTAAACATGATTATGTGTTATCTGGCCACGTAGAAAGAAGTTTCAGAAGTTTATTCCATCAGTATTCACTAATTATGCAGCCAGGAAGTAAGCAGCCAAGTAACTAAGAAGCAAATTTACAAACTGGTGTAGAACTAAATAATGTCTATGAAAGGCTCCTTCAGGACTTGCACAGAACTGCTTGTATCTTTACAAGCAGTTGTTTACAAGGAGGTGATTTGAGTAAGTTTGGCAGGGTGTTGGTCCTCTGTCGCCCGTTGTGCATCTTACAGTGGAAAGACTAACACAAACCACAGATTATAGGTGGATGCACCAAAATGCCTCCATGTTGTCACAGGTAAGACATGCACAGTTCAAAACTCTTCATGTTTATCCATCAGATAAGCTGTAATAATAGATCCATTTTTTCCCTCAAACTGTGATCCCCTCATCTCACGGGGTTATGCATCCTCAAACAGATCATTTGCAAACTGCAGATCCTTGGTAGCACAGAACCAATTAACAGTTTTCATCTCTCCTGTTTCCATTGCATGGTTTCTCTTGAAACCTACCACATTGATTTTTCTCCTCCAAGTACCTGTAACAGAACAGCATTTACTTTATGCTTTGAAATTCCTCCCCCCCGCCCCCAGCTTTGCTGCATTTCACCTGGCTGTTCATATTTTTAGGACATTTGAAGTGAAAGTTTCCCTACATTTTCCTCTCAGTTTCACAATCTCTTATCTTTCTTTCAAGGCTTTATTGGAGTATTTAGGTCTTAATGAACCGAAGGATACAGTGCTGATGGTTGTCTACGTACAATGACTCTTTTCCTCAGGAAATATATTGAAGTTGCAAAGAATAGGAATTGTCATCTGTTTGTGGACGCCAGTTTTTTGAGCTTTCTCTGGTAAAAAGACTAAATGGAAAGTCATGACCAATGCAGATAAACATGTGATAGAGGCTACTTCTGGCCATTTACTGAAGAAATCTATTAATATGACACCATAATATTCATCAATAGTAAATGAGCAGCAAGGTCTGTAGTGTCAATTGTCACCTTTTCAAATAAAAAGATAGGGTGACATGAGCCTGTACCAACTCATGTTTGTTCTGTCAAGTGAGAGAAACTTTTAGTGTAGCTTGAGCATCCAGTCCTGGCTACTGACGGAGAACCTATAATCACCATTACGACAACTCACTGCTGTGCATCATGAGCAAAGTGTATTGATTTTGCCTCTGATTCTTCCAGAATAACACATTTATGAGTTATTCCCGTCTTGCAGAGAAAGTTCAGTCCAGTTCAAAGCCTAACAGAGACGAATTAAATTTGTTATGAATATGAGTCTATTTTGCTGTCGGGATGCCATGTAATTTCCGCTCAACAAGGCAGACTAAACAAGCAGCTTTCTATTATTCTTCTGAAACTTCAGCAAGGACATACCCAATTTGTCCAACTGCTTCCATAGCAGAAGTCAGTACTTCCGAGTATTCAGAGTATTCAGGGAAGATAACGATGAGCAAAACAAGCAATGAAACATCACATTTTAATCTGATTTGTTTTCTATGTCACATATAAGTAAAATAGTATTACTTCACACTTCTCTAAGTCTTTTCAGCGTTGACTGTACAATAACAGGCAAACATAATCTGTGTGAAGCTGAACTTGTGGCCAAAAGACAGGGTCCCCCTCTTCCTCTTACTCCTGTGCAAGCCCGTATTTCTTCTCCAAGGCCAGAATACTTTTCCCTTTGCTTCTGCGACTGTTCTTGAAGACCCCATAATGGCTTCCTCAGGGTTGACCTCATATATTTGAGTAACTGTAGCTACAAAACACTATCCCAATGCATTTCTACCTCATTCAGCAAAGATAAAGTAACACAAGATTATAAACTCTGGTCACTTGTAATTATGGTTTTCACCAGTTCGAAATGAAGCTGTGCTCCATTTGTTCAGGACACACTCTTGATTTTGTGCTTTAAACAGTTTTATAGATGAAACATAGTTTGGAATGAAGTTTTTGTACTGTAATGTAAGAATTTAGGAAAATAAAAATACCTGTATTTGTCTTAGTAGTGGGGCAGCTTATTCCGCACCTGGTTCAATCTGAGTAATTATGTTTCCCTGAAAAGACAATTCTGAAGTGGCACCTGAAAAAGGAAAACATCAATTCTGCTAAGCTGGTATATTGTAGTATATCCTGTAGGTGCTCCTATCCTTGTTTATGGCTCACAAGCTAACACTGGACTCCAGACTCCTTATTGAAAACACTGATCATTAGTTCCTTTAAAAGCATTAGATTCAGTTTCAAAGATACAATGTATGTTTCAAACACAAAAATGATCCAATGAATATTACCTGAGGGCTGTGAGGGTTTGCAAAACAGAAATCAAGATTTAAGAGCATCTTTTCACCCTGAATACTTGCATTAAGCCTGTATGTAGACATGGCTGGCCTGAGAAGATTACAGCTTTACTGAGCTTCCCCAGATCTACCCAAAGACAATATATCCTTTCTTCCTTGTCAAAGCCAGTGGAAATATCCACTCAGGAGATATGATTTATCTGATAGAAATGTTTGGAGCAGATCTTTAAGCTCTGGCAATGCCTCATTTCTACAGAAATTGACAGCTGACTCAGAGTTTACTGCCTGGTTATCACACTATGTCAGAGTCTAACTCTGAATAAAATGCTTCACCCAGCTGTAAGTACTTTCTAAATTACCTCATGTAATTGATTAAACTTGAATCAAAGTTATGGGAGTGTTTTACAGCGTGGAAGTATTTTTGCTTGTTCAATGCGGCCAATACAAGCTTACTCCCTATAGGAGTATGCACATCAGGAGTATGAGTCAAAAATCACATTTGCATGCAGGCAGCCAAGCACAGGATTTGTTTCCTCAGGTGGTTTATGAGATACAGGTCTTGGCTGCGTAAGTGACAACCTTTTAAAGCACTGATTTGAACAGTATGGAGACTCCGGTGTACATATTTAGCATTAAATCTGTAAGCTGGCAGCCGCTTTCTGAATGGAGCAGAAATACCAACACCATAGCTCACTCCCAGCATGCTGTTCTCAAGATTTCTGTCTACATCAGAACACTATTCTAGGGACTAGTAATTCCACCTTCCTGCTCTTCACATGGAGCTCTATGGCAGGGGTCACTAGAGCGTGCACGCAGCTTGCAGCATGGCCATACACCGGGAAACTCTTCCTTTTGCACTGGGAGTTTGCCGACCCCTGGCTGTTTTCAGTGTCAACAGCCAAGGTCTTTTCCTAACCCAGGCTATCTGAAGGGCACCCTCTTCTGTCCGGCACCCGAATCGCACCACCACGTCGATTTTGCCAGAGATGTCTTGATTCTGCAAATTAAAACTGCAGTGCTGGTGGTTTTCCAGCAGACCAGTAATGCCATGGTCCGTCCCGTTCCATGACAGGGGAGAAGAAGACTGTTCTACATGTGTTGATGAAGACAACAGGTGTAAAGGAAAAATTATCACATGGAAAAGCAGGATAATTTACAACGGATAGAATTGATGGAAAGAACTATTTTTTCCAGTGGAAAGGCAGCCGACAGTTATGAGGACTATGATCTATGTTATTCACTGCATAAATCCCTGAAGAGCTGTCCTTCCTGAAGTAAATAAAGAAGTGTACTGTTTTTCCTGTGTGGATTGTCTCAAACTCCAAGCTTCCATTAGAGCAGTCCAGGACCAGGAATTACTGCCATGTCTGCTCCAGAAAGAGGTTGTTTTGCTTGTCAATGTTTTAAGGAGCCAGTGTCTGTCCCAGCTCACATCCATCCCCACAGGTACCTATTTATTTAACCAAAACAAACAAACCCTTTAATTACATTTCAGGTGATTTTAAAGTGGCCATCCTAAGGAAGCAAGGCTTCTGCAGCTACTTTGTCTCTCCACTGACTCCTGATAATGATGGAAACAACTGGCCCACGTCAGACAGATCTGACAGATGGACAGAGATCTCCAAACACAGTAAGCTCCTACCATTTTCTTCTATAATTGGCAGCTGGACAGAAGAATTTAATAGAAAGAGCACCCTAATTAGCGCCCCCACTCACCATGAGTCCACAGTCTGTTCAGATCATGCCTAGCCATGCCACGTCCACGAGCCATCCCATGTCCTTGGTGGCTGCAAGGAAGAGGAGACGGAATGGTGGGGAGGTCAGGGGAGGTACAGATGAGGAAGAAGGTGGACAACCACACAGATATGGAATACAAATCACCAGGGAAGTAGATTTCATTAGGCCAACTAACAGATCAACTTAGTTTCTCTCTCCCTTGTGGCTCACAGTGTTTCAGAGCCATGTTATTTGGATTGACTTTGGCAGCAGGTAACTAGAAGATCAAAATGCTGTCTATCCATCTGTCGTGTTGATTACTATAATTTCTTCCCCTATATATTCTTTGTATCATTATTAGATGTTATTTTCAGTTGTTTTTTTTATCGACATGGTAATAACTACCAGGGCATACAGATCTTTACCACTGTAAAAGGGGAAAATAAAACTAAAATGACGTGTTTGGTAATGTTTAGTGAATTAAGAGATGACTCTTTTAAACTTAGGGGTTTTATTAATTGCTTGAGTGCTGTATAACAACTGCTTGGAGAAAAAATATCTGGTCCATGGTTTATCAACTTTTGGTATTGTTCAGCTTTTAGGACAGAATAAACCCAGAGAACATTAGTTAAATATGTTCCATCGATCAGGTCATGTCAGGTTCCCATTTCTTCCATGGAAAACGAGAGCTGACCTTCACCTTCATGTCACATATAATGCTCCAAGGCAGCCGTGAATTTTACTTAAACTTACCAATTTAAGATCTCACAACCTATCTGTAGGTAGTGAGAGATACACTGCCTGTTTCAGTAAGAGATGCACTGACATAAAAATGAGTGAGTAGCCCAAGCACTGACAGAATTTCTACCACACTTCATCACTACACCCTGCATAATTTTAGGCCAGAAGAATATTTACTTGGATGAGGTATAAGGCCAGGTTTATCTCTTTTGATCCTTCAATTTTTCATTTTATCACAGTAATCACGCAGTTAAGAGCCAGATGTCTCAGGAGGATAAAGAAAAGATCCCTATGTTTTCCACAACTGTAGGAATGAAAAAAAATAAAATCCATTAATCTACTTTCTTTTGTATAATTTGTCTTTAGAGGAGAAACCAAAAAAAAAAATACTTTAAAATAAAATCAGAATTTTAACTTTGCCCTTATAAAGAAAATTTCTAAAAAGTGGGAACTTTTTTTAAATACTGAAGACAGGAATTGTTACCAGTGTGTACTGCAGCTACAGAACTCAAAGGTAAGTCTCCTTGCTGTCAGAGCTTAGGCACATCAGCCTCCCCCCACAACCCTCATAAATACAGTTGAGGAGCTACAATAAACTTACAAGGCTGCACTAAACTGAGCAACACCTGCGAGATGCTGGAGGAGGAGAAGATGGATGTTCCTCCCTTATGAATTTGCTCCTGCATGCATGGGGTGCTGAACCCAGGATAGACCAGGATATAGACTAGGAAAATCTGGATGCCCTTAAATAACAGAATAATAAAATGGAATGAAATGTAGTGTAAATGCTCTGTCAGGAGCAACAAGAATCTGAACTGAAAGCTGGAAGTAGCCAAAGAAAAGAAACAGCACAGTCACAGAAAACTGTCAGAAAACTATCAGCCACTCAAACTATAAGGCAAAACATGCATAGATGTGAAAAAGGCAAGTATCATTAAGAATGTATAAGGGAGGTGTTTCCAACAAAGATACCTGAACTCTGCTGGGTTTTGAAATGCTGAATTCCCATCTCAAATGCTGCGTACCCTTTGTGTATGCTTCAGGAGAGATTTCACATTGGACCACAGCTACTCAGATGATAAGGAGAGCACAGAGCCCCTCTCTGACGTCCAACTGAAAGAGTGCAGTGTACTTAAGTCTGCAAAACTAAGGGTTGCCAAGGAAAATGACCACACAGAAATCAGATGGTAAATGACATTCTGAAGAAAGAGCTACAACCTAAAGGATGTGGGATTTTGTTAGAAATGTGAAATGGTATAAATGGATCGTAAGTACATTTAACCTAGGAACTAGAAAAATATTTTGAATACTCAGAGAGTTTTGAGGCTCTGGAACAGATTTTCAATGGCAGTAACAGTAACAAAACTCCCTAAATATATAAAGATGAAGATTCATAAATTTGTAAATGAAAGGATTATATGTGGTGTGACCTGCATTAGGGAGAGAGTAGCAAAATTGTCCCAGAAGTCCTTGCCATGCCTATGTTCATATCAACAGCCTCAGAGAAACAGGAGCTCTGACTGGTACAAGGATATTGTAAAAAGTTCTGAAACATAACTCTGGAAATCCAGATACCACCATTATTAATTATTATACTGTTGCTAATTCTACTGGAAATCGCTGGGTAAGTCAGGCTTTTGTTATACTGATGCATTTCCTTCCAAACTGGAAGACTAAGCTGTCTCTGAGCTCTCAACATTCCTATTTTCTTAACACTCATCTTGCATTGTTTAAATTTTAATTTACCCAGTTTCTGGACATGCCACTTTCAGTTTTCTTGCTGAAAGGCAGGGATTTGCTGAGATCTGATTTTGTCTCTTTAGAATTCTTCTGACTTCAGAAATTTTCAGATAAATTCTCTGTATCTTTTCATATTTACCACTGTCTGCATGGCTTAGTGGAGCCATAAATTCTCTTCCATGTAAAATTACAGACTGTATTCATGCAGAATTTCACAGCAGAGTTCCAAAGGCATTGTCTTTGCTGCCACTGTTCTAATTGCTCCAAAGATAACTTTATAATATCTGCAATCCCAGTAGACAACAGTACAGAAAGACACAGCAGCTTTGTTTTTCAAAACCTGTCATGTACTGTAAGCAGTGATGAATCCAGATCCAGAATATCAAAAGACACAGTTTTCCCTTTCATTTAACAAGCATTTGATTTTAAAACATGTATTGACTGCCAACTACAAATACAATGTTTTCCAGATCAAAGGGTCTCTGTGAGGTACAAAATCACTGACAGTGGTTGTCATCACAGCACTGGATATGTGCATTCTTTCAGAATACTTTAAACAGGTGCAGCCAAGTCTATAACCAGGCAGCAGCACCAGACCAGCTTGTAAAAGGGAAGTTCATGGTAAGGAAAAGCTCGATGCTGCTGGCACTGGGATACTTGCAGTACCTGTGCATATATACACGTGTAAGTAGGTGATTTATGCATCCACTGCATTGCAGTGTGCAGCATATCTGCAGATCTGGAAGAAGCAAAGGGAGTAGATGGTGATGCTGAAAATGACACACCGCATTTCAGGCAAGCAGCTGGGATGCTGAGCATGCACAACAGTTGAAGGACAGAGTAGAGATTATCTACCCTGCACCCTCCCTGCAGGAGGACAGGCAGTGAGGATTGGGGCTGAGAAAGGCAACCTCAGTAGGAAAATGAGGTTTTTTTTAAGGTGAGGGAAAACTGCTGAGGTCTCACTGCTGATAATCAACTGTCTTTGAAAGAAGGCTAGAAATGGCCCATGTAAAGGATGACAACCACTCTGCTGATAGAAGCTGGCTTGTCAGCTTGAGTTGGCAGGAGTTTCTACAGTTAACATAGCAGTTACCGCTTTCCTGATGACCTCTGTAGATGTCATCAATGACATTTCTTTTTATTCAACATGCATTGATAAAACCATGGGCAATGGCACATTGACAGAAAAGAAAAAGGTATATGTCTTTAATAAAAAAAAAAAAAGAGGCATTTTACAATTTTTTAAATGCCAGGATTAGGATTACCTGTGATGCCATAATTTCCACTTGTGCATATTTATACTAATACATTCTCTAATTAAATGATCATATAATCCCCTCCCAATGCTTACTGCAGAAGGTGTTGCAATTGAGCCTTTTTTCTGTAGTAGCAACCTTCCTCACTTGCGGCAGAGATGGAAAACTGCATGGTTAGTCTGAAGACTACAAGAGAGTCCCATGATGTAAAATCACATACTGCTGTCCTGATGTAAAGCTGTTTTGCAAGTGGTTCTCGATTGCATTTTCACTCTTAACCCATGCATCGGTGAGCATCATGCCAACCATACTGCATATGACTGGGGCCCTAGCTCATTTAGGAATACTGGCTGTTCTTTGACGCTTGGTACCTGGAAGGTTTCAAGCTGCAAACAAGGTTGACATAGCTTAGGCTTCTGAAAGGTGAATGATGTGTTCATAGTTAACAAAAAGATACCCAAAAGCATGCTGACTGACAGACTGAAGTACACTCAGCAAAAGCAACTTAGAGCTCACGCCCTTAGGAGGAAATGCAGTATCAAATGCTTCCTCACAAATAAGCACCAACTATTTTTCTCCTGACTGCAGCACGGCCCTTGTGAAGAAACAGTGTGACTGTGAAATTAGAAATTATATCACACACACATAAAATGGCTAAAGGCAATTGCTCTATTACAACAACAGCAATGCTCTGTGTAATTTTTTTTTTTCTTAACTCTGCAATATTAGTAGCATTCTGTCAACAATATTTGCCAGTAAGTTTTATAAGATAAGATGAAAGGTACTAAGGAATTACAAAATAATGTTATAACATTAGGCTGAAGTACGACAACACAATTCAATTCATTTCAGGACATACCCATTAGGATCAGAAACTGATGACAGTGTTTAAGGTTATCTAGTTATGCCAAGAATTACAGTTCCACAAATCACATTTCCTTGAACAAAACAGAGATCAGACTTTGCTTGCTGAAGCAGAAGAGAACAACTTAGTTGGGATATAGTGAAGGATTGTCTTTGGTATGATTAACGTTAGAAATTTCCAGGATTATGGGAGGACTAGTAACAATTATTTACATTTCCCCATGTGCTGCAGTTTGGCTGTACTGCCTGATATTACTGTATAGGTTAAACCAGCCACCTACAGATTTATTTTCATTCTGTATTTCACAATTGTTATATTCTGCCAGTCACAGCTGGAACTCTGAACCAATTCTGAGATTCTGATCCCTTTTTTTAAAGGACAATACTTTTACTGTGTATCTGTACTATAAAACACTGGTGCTTTCCTGACACTGCAACAATATCAATAAACTAATATGTATCACCAAAAAAAAAAGAGAAACACAGTCACTTTTACTCACTTACTAAAGCTTAATTAACAAGTTATCAGTGGGATTTTCTAAGGATTACAGAAATCGGTTTTTTTTCAAAGAAAGTAAGGAAAATTAGCAAATATTTGGACTATTAATTATCAGTGGAATTATACTGAAATAAATGAGCTGGTAATGAGGCCAATGGATAATAATTTATCCTTGGTTTACTAACATTAATTCTTATATTATTACAAATAGAAATTATATCCACATTTTACAAGTGAAAAGAGAAAGAGCAAGCAATTTGCCTGGTGATCAAACAAATACTACAATCAGAAGTACAGAAGCTCAGCTGCTGCATGTAACATGCAAAATGTAAACATGAATATATACATATGAACGTCCTGCTCTATTTAGGCATATATTATCTACATTCATTCAGGACATCAGAAGCATTTTTAATCTCATCTTGAATCTTTGCAGTAAATTATTTCTGTCATAAAAATTAAATTTCCATTTTAATTTACATCAAACAAATTGCTTGAGAGAGGCCTGGCCCCTATGCATAGAAAAACACTGTATTAATAATCGTTCAGATGGCACTTACACATACACTATGCTGAAAACTTTGTTTTGCGCAGCTGGTTTTTTTTGCTTTGAAACCAATTTTTAAGTAAACCACGTGTGAGTTGGTGCCAACAGTGAACAGAAGCAGTTTGGTTTGGAATACATGAGCCAAGGAAGAAATGTGCATTATTCTTCCAAATCAAGTGAATTATTAACATGCACAGACTTAAGCAAGTAAAAACATGAGTGATAATGTGAATAGGCAGAAAAGGCATTGAAAGTGGTGAAAGAACCAAGGAGTGAGAGAAAATTAGCACAGATGTAGAAAGCTAGGAGGAGTTGGTAGACTAAAGAAATAAAACTGGGAATCAAGTGATCCTTCAATAAGCCATTTAGGAAAGTGAGTTAGAATCACAGAGAGAATGATCATAGGAGTATTAAAAAGAAAACAATAAAAATTGACAAAATTAAAACCTGTGTCTTCTTATATACTGTCCCCAAGAGGCCAAATGTAATCTCATGTTAAAATACAATACATTAGATTTAGCTTACTATCAACATGATTTATGAGACAAAGACCAGATACTAAGAGTGAATAAATAGTAAAGCAAGAAGGCAGAAAGGGGAGAGCTGCACAAGATAACATCACAGTGAGGGATGAATGCAGATATGTTCTGTTTTGTTTTAGTATGCATTCAGTTCTATGATAAATATGTGTTTCAAAATGCAGTAAATTGCATACATAAAGGATAAGAAAAGAAACGTCACTGTAAGATTCTACACTTATCTGAAGAAGTGAACTGCAAATTCAAGATTAAAATTCTGTATATTTCACTAATATATCTCCATCAACTATGAAAAAAGAAACATTTATCATGCTGGGTATTAAAATGCATGATTTTATGTTCTTATATCACACATGAACTAGCTTCACTGTTGCTTCCTCACTTTATGTCAGCTCAATGAACAGACAAATCCTTCAAATCGTGGACATGCCTAGTTGTGGACAGTTATTTAGTAAATGGCAAACTAATGAACAGCCACATACCCCCAAATTTTAAACCACTCCTTGTTTCTAGATGCTGAGATTTAATTTATAGAGTGGTTAACTACATATGCACAAAAGACAAGTCTGCAGCCAAGGAATATGATTGCCATGCTTACTAGGGTTTGAATACCCACAGCAGTGAAACTGCAGCAGCACAGATTTCTCCCTCATGGAGCAGAAGACATCTGTCCAGGCCACTTGTCATACTGCTCACATGCATTGAAATAGGCAACTAATCTGGGCTAGGACTGCTGACATCTGCCGCACTCACGTGTTTCTGTGATCTCTAGATAGAACTTCAAAAAAACTGGAAGGGTCTCTAAGGGAGAGACCCTTGGTCTGAGAAGACCAAGAAGGACTTGTTAGTGGCACGAGAGAGAATGATAAAAGGCTGATTTGTAGTTTATGTTCTAAACGTTCCACTTATTCTAGCTTCTTAAGTTACTCAGCAGACCTAACAGAACTTTTACATTTGCAGTTTGTTTTTCAGGTGTGTGAATTTTGCTTGGAAAAAAGTTTGTAATGTTAAAGCTTTACTAAGTAATCCCTTAAGAGCAACTTTGAGAAGCGTCTGTAAGGGAACAGAATGAAGACATTTACTCTGAGCTAAAAATACATACTCATTGGGTAGCCTGGTGCACAATGTTAACTTCAGGTGGTGTAAGGGAAAATAAAATCTCAAGAACAACTGTATTTATGGACTGGGACTTCCATTCGGAAAAACACATCATAAAACCATTCTAAGCCTCAGAGAACTGTCTACCTGTGAATTTCTAAGTATAAGGATATAGGAAGGCATGCAATAGTAGGACAATGAAGTAGGTAAGACACATCCCTAACAAAACCTGACATTAGTTAAATTGTTCAGTAATTTTTTTTTTTTAAATCACTGAGAATCCTATGGTACATGTTAAGTGATCCAAGACAGGACACCAGGTAGTTTAATGGTATGAATAGTCTATCTTATAGTCAACACTATACATGACAGAGACATCTGTAACCAACCTTATTTCATGCTACACAAGCTACAAAGGTGGACATATACTCTTAGTTATAGGAAACATAATATCGAAGTAAATAAAAACCTTATGTAAAGGGGTTTGGCAAAGGAAACAGAGAGAAATAACCAGGTATTAATATTTGCAAATATAGTGCGGGATGAGGATTTATTGTGGAAAATTAGTTTTCTCATTTAGTTAGTTTTTTAATTTAAAATTAAATATGATACAAAGGTGCTATATTTGGGAAGGGCCAGTATAAATTTCAGAGTAAAACTAAGAAGAAAAAGACAAGTGATTAAATTGGAAGTTAGATGTAAAAAAAGCAAGGACAGTAAATGGCCATCTAGGAGATTAATACATTCTCAGACATCTCTCAAAAAATTTACCGATGGGATGAATATTCTCTACAAGGTAATAATTGCATGCAGGGTTCTTTGTTCACAGAAATACAAAAACTCACTTGTTTTTCTTTCAACCACATGCTTTTGCTAATATTTTAGATTGTTTTGCTCTCTTGTGTCCTATTCTTTCAACCAGTATTTAGATGAAGGTTACTGCTTCCGAAGTATTCACAGAATCACAGAATGGTTGAGGTTGGAAGGAACTTAGAACGTCATCTGGCCCATCCCCTCAGCTCAAGCAGGACCATGAAGAGCCAGCTGCCTAGGACCATATCCAGACAGCCTTTGAGTATCCATCTCCAAGGATGGAGACTCCACAACCTCCCAAAGCAACCTCCATCAGTGCTCAGTCACCCTCAAAAAAATGTTTCCTGATGTTCAGAGCCTCCTGTGTACCAGCTTTGCGCCCACTGCCTCTAGTCCTGTCACTGGGCACCACTGAAAAGAGCCTGGCTCTGTCCTCTTTGCACCTTCCCTTCAGGTATTAATATACACACATGGTGTGACCTTACCAGGGCTGAGTAGAGAGCAAGAATTTCCTCCCTTGACCTCTTGGCAACATTCCTCCTTAATGCAGCCCAGGATACTGTTGGCTGTCTTTGCTACAAGGACACACTGCTGGCACATGTTCAACCTGGTGTCCACCAGGACTCTCAAGTCTTTTTCTGGCAAGCTGCTTTCCAGCCAGGCAGCCCAATCATATACTAAGCGTAGCTAAGGTTGTTCCTCCCCAGGTGCAGGACATTGCAATTGCCCTTGTTGAACTTCATGAGGCTCTGTCAGCCCATTTCTCCAGCCATATAAATCTCCAAATTAGAATTCCTGTAATTGTGACAGTTGTAATCTACCAAAT